CCCAGGGGAGGGGTGCTGGGTCTGGGGGGGTCAGGGGTCCCCAGGGGAGGGGTGCTGGGTCTGGGGGTCAGGGGGGGCCAGGGGAGGGGTGCTGGTTCTGGGGGTCAGGGGTGTCCCTCAGGGTCCTGGAGCGGATGGCAGCTCGGGAGGGTGCGGGTGCCTCGGTTCCTGGGGGTGAAGGGATCTCCCAGGGATGCTCCTGGCAGAGGAGCAACTGGGGAACCCCCCCGAGGTGCTGCTGGCGGGGGTTCCCCTGGGGTGTCTGTTCTGGGGGTCTCCCTTTGGTCCGTGGCCAGGTGGGGATAGGAGGACGCAGGGTGGCGGCCAGGCTGTGACAGATCCCTGCGGAATTGGGGGAATCCCTCGGGACTGCCGGGGGGTTCTGAGCGGGTCCCCATTCCCTGACCACCCTCTGGCCAGGCCCTGACCCCGAATCCCCCGCAGGTGTCGGGCAGCCTGCGGCAGAAGGCAGCACCGGGCACGGCCCCGGCGGAGCTGCAGGAGCTGCGGAGCCGCACGGAGCGCGCGGAGCGGCGGCTGCTGGCCTGCGAGAACCTGGTGGGAGAGCTGGGCAGCGGCCTGGCCTCCCTGGGCACCCTCCTGCAGGGCTACGGGCAGCTGCAGCAGCGCCTGCTCAACCTGGAGAACCTCCTCAAGAACAGGAACTTTTGGATCCTGCGCCTGCCCCCCAGCTCCAGCGGGGAGATCCCCAAGGTAGCAGCGGCCGCTTCCCAGGGATGCCGTGCAAGGGCTGGGGGCCGAGCTCCTGCGTGTCCCCGTGGCGGGGCTGGACGTGTCCCGAGCCACGCGTGGTTCCAGGGAATTCCCTGTGATTCCAGGTGCCGCTCACCTTCGATGAGATCTCGGTGTATTTCAACGAGCTGGAGTGGGAGAGGCTGGAGCGCTGGCAGAAGGATCTGTACAGGGCCGTGATGAGGGGCAACTACGAGACCTTGGTGTCCCTGGGTAAGGCTTGGGAGGCTGGAGCTCATGGAGTCGTGGGTTTGAAAGGCTGTGAGGTGGTGAGGCCCTGGCCTGGGTCGCCCACACCCCTGGCAGTGTCCAAAGCCAGGTTGGATGAGGCTTGGAGCAACCTGGGATAGTGGGAGATGTCCCTGACTGCCACTAGAGGGAAACGTTGCAGCCAAAGCTTTTCCCTCGTGGGATTTTAGTTCCTGTTCTGCTGGTTAAGATCCTCTCTGCCTCAGCTGCGTGTGTGCCTGGGGGTGGGTCCTGCCTTGGGGCCCAGGAAGTGTTTGGAGTAGGGATGAGGTGTTTGTGTCCCCGCCAGGACTGGGACAGGGGACAAGGGTCACTGCTGGAATGTGCCAGACTAAAGGCAGCCAAATCCTAACCAACCCCTCATCCTCTGCCCCACGACCAGACTACGCCGTGTCCAAGCCCGACATCCTGTCCCAGATGGAGAGGGATGAAGAGCTCAGTGACAAAGAGGGCCAGGAGCCCCCATGGACACAGACTGGGGATGGTCAGGAGCCCCTCCGGGCAGCAGAAGAGAGGGACAAGGCAGACGAGGCTCCAGGAGATGAAACCCCCATGGAAGCTGCCCCAGGTGGGTGCCAGGAGGAGGTGGCTGTTCCTGGAGACCTCCCCTTCCTTAGGGATGAAGGGCTCAGCTCGCTCCACGGACTAAAGCACCCCAGAGCGCCATGAATCTTCATTCCAAGAGGAATGGTTGTGCTTGGTGGGATGAATCCCAGGGAGAAAAGCAGTCAAAGCCTTGCAGGAGGGTCTGGAGCAGTGGGAAGGGCCTCCTGTAAGACTGGGGCTTCCAGAGGCATTCCTGCCTGCTGTGGAGGGACAGGAAACGTGCTGGGAAGTGAGAAACTGGGAGCTGAGGTGGGAAGGGGAGGCTGGAGCTGCTCTGCTTGTCCTGGGGGAACAGAGGAGTCTGGGGAGCCTTGGGGCATGGATTTAGAGTGGGAGGGCTGGGCAGGAAGGTGGAAGGTGCTGGAAAGGGACAAACAGAACTGGGAGCAACGAAGATGTGGGAAGAGCCGTGGTCAAGGGCTCTTTCCTGCAGGATTGAGGAGCTGGGCAGGTGCTGTCCCATGGGAAAACTCAGCTGGAGCCCAGGTGGGAGTTTGGGGAGAGGAAAAGGGACACAGAGGGACATCTCCTTTGGGGTTCACGTTCTGTTACTCACAGCTTCTGTCCTGTGTGGATCCTGCCACGGGGCCAAGGAGGCGGCTCTGCCATGGGGGTTGGAGGTGTTGTGAGAGGGGACAAGGCTCCCTTTGGGAATCTGGCAGGATAAAGGTGCAGATCCTAATAAAGCCCCTGTTCTGTGCCCTGGGAACAGACGGTGCCGAGTCCACACCCAACGGCCGGACACGCATTGAGAGGGATGAAGAGCCCAGCAACGAAAAGGGTCCTGAGCCCCCATGGACACAGAATGGGGACAGCCAGAAAACCCCACAGATACAGAATGGGGACAGCCAGGACCCCCCAGAGACACAGACTGGGAACAGCCCAAAATCCCCACGGACACGGAGTGCGAACAGCCAGAAAACCCCACAGACACAGACTGGGGACAGCCCAAAATCCTCATGGACATGGAGTGGGAACAGCCAGAA